TTAATTATGCATTAAAAGTACAGGATGAAAATGCTATTATTTCGTTCTCCATTAATTGTTGTTTACCACCTAGTTGCCATTTGTGGAAAATTTTAATGAACAGAATCTTATTCAAACATATTTTTCACGTGGTAGATTCAAAAGCAATATATTGTATATTCTGAAATACACTAGAATATGCATTATACACATTATATTCATTATAGACATTTTTTAAATATATTAATTTTTTATTGTACATTTTATACACAACTTGTTTGCACTTTTATAGTAAAATACTGTAAATGATAATCCATTAATATTGGTAGAAAAGAAAACCTTAGAGAGTCGACCGCTTAGCGTATTTAATGTAATGTTACTAATACTGTATTATATTAGATAGAATTGTGAAATTATTGAACTCCACATTCATAGGCAACAGAAACCGAGTTTTGTTAAGATTGGAGTATCACAAGAATTACAGGCATTTTTGAGGCTATGCCATACATTTATAATATAATTCTTTATATTTTTCATTTGATATATTCCTATGGGACGGTCACTTTTTTGTATTGAACGAACAACCAAAATGTGTTTGTTATGATTATTTTCAAATTCTATTATACATTATTTTAAAAATCCTTTCTCTTTTGAGAATTGTATTATTAGAGGAATATAACGATATGCTATTGACCGGTATCCTAATCATTATGGTTATTGGTAGTCGACCCGATTGGCGGCCTCTGTTCGTTGTGTTCGCGAGTTATAATTCATCTCACGATAACTGCTCTAAATTATAGTCAGATAGCTATTAGTGAATCCCAATAACTAAATAATACTTCAAAGTATTTTCTGGAATAAAATGTTTAACTTGTAAAATATGATCATTTTTAGCCATAGATTTTTGGCAAAATTTCACCAACATCTTTGCGAGTAATACATTTTAAAAACCTCTTGTATGTAAACATCTGAACCAATTTTTGTGAAACTCGGATTCTGATGCCTAGGAATGTGAACTTAAATTTTGAAACTAATTTCATAATTTTATTAACACATTTACATGTAGTGCTCGACTCTCTGACGTTTCCAATTCTACCAATATATTCTTCTATTATACCACAAATGCATACCATTTTTAATTGATTTCCTTATATAAAATTTTCCCCGTTTTATTTCTAATATATTATAAACTATTAAATACCGTGTAATTAAACAGAAATTCTTGGTAACACACTGTGTTTTAAATGTTTAAAATTCATACCAAATATATATAAAGCGCTCAATTTTTTATACAGCATTCACGTAGAAACTGAATCCAAACCTAAGCTCACGATTCACTAAACATAATAATTGACGAACATTTTCAGTGAACTTTTGCTCTGTTTTTTGTGTATTTTATTTCACGGCTTTTCTAATCATTTCTCTCTTTATTCACTCCAAATAAGGTATTATTTTTGTTGTTTTGAAATCAAAAAAGTAGCAGAAAATCAAGTTTTTACTGATATTCAACGATACGAATAAAAAACCATACAATTCCTGTCGAAAGGAAACTCAATTCAAACAAAATTTCTATTTCTAATGCAAGAGTAAATTTAGATTTTTTGTTTGCATTGATTGAGGAATTTATTAGTAATTGTAAAAGAATTTAATTATATTTTCGGAAACTTGTCAGATAATCAGTGGAGAGAGAGAGAGAGAGAGAGAGAGAGAGAAAGTCGGAGCAAACAATCCATTGGTTGTAATCAATATTTAATGCATAAAATATATCACAATTTGAAAGAAGTTGAGCCAAACTTTAGGATATATTTTTGAATGAATGCACATTTTGTACGTTAATTCAATGGAAGTGAAAATGTGAGCGCAATTAGCATAGAGTTGCCAACCATTAAGTCTGGTGTGTTTTGTGCACCTGAGGGCCAAAACCATTTGGACGGTATGTGTGCTGTACATGTATATGTATTGGGAGAGAGCATACAATTCACCAGAAAATGAAGAGATATTGTACTCAACCAACTATTCATTCCTACAAAAACCAGTCCTAAACAACAAAAATAGCATCCATTAACTCCTCCCAGACGTGCCCTTCTCTCTCCGTCTATCTCTATGTCTTTCCCATTCACTCTCAGTCTTTATTATGTGGTTTTAAAGTGTTTTTTAATGTGTTTGTGAAGAAATATTTATATACTTTTTATGAATACGTTTTGATGCGAAAACAAAAATGATTTTGATTTATAGAATAGTTGTGTTGAATATTTGAAATATAAAATTCACAAATTAATGAATAAATTATTTGTCAAACAAACAGCAAAAAGTAAATTGATATATATTTTTATAAAAACAATTTTATCCATGTTTTAAGAAAGTTGTGTTACTTTTATGCAAATGAGAGTCTGAGTGATTGGATTCATCTGAAGAGAGAGCAATGTTCACACCAGTGGTCGTCAATCATATACATAGTGTCCACATTTGGTCCCACGTCTTGTCACACCTGTTGCTGCTGTCGTACGTGACGGTCGGTTGGAGTGAATCGCCGACCAAATGGGTGACAACGGGTTGTCCGGAAGCGTTCAAAGGCCGGTGTCTGTGCGGACAGAAGCCGTACCCACCGACGGGTCGCCTCACTTTCGTCACCAACTGTACGAACACTAACTTTACGAACACAGATATGTTGACACAACTGTCACCCGAGACGGAAGTGTTGATCTTTACGGGCAATAATATCCAGAGTTTACCGCCGAATCTGATCGGACAGGACGTCACGTACGACAAACTTCACACCATAGACCTGTCCAACAATACCATCCGATATATTCAGGGCAAGAGTTTCCATCGAGTGGGAAGCGTTCGCGTACTTAATCTCAACCACAACGAGATACTCATAGATGAGGACAACTTTCATCCGAGAATTTTCTCCAATTTCAGGAGTTTAGAGGAATTGCATCTGAAGAACGCGTTCGACAGCGCTGTCCACGACTCAAGTTTCTTGACTAAACTCTGGCAGACATTCAACGAGAGCTCAATCACCACATTGAAGGTTCTCGACTTGGATGACAACCGAATCAGATCCACTTTCCCGAGTCAGCACATGTTGTGCCCTTTGCCTGCCCTCCAGAGACTGCATTTGTCCGGCAATTTTCTCACCGACTTTACGCTCAATTTGACGTGTCTTAAGAACTTAGCACTCGTGGACATCAGCTATAACTTCATCACGACGTTGAGCAACAGGTCCATCGCCGCCATCGAGACGGGTCCGCCCAACTATCACATCAATATATCATCGAATTCGTACAAATGTGACTGCAATCTCATCGACTTCTTCCAGTTCACTAAAATGCCGGACAAGACTATAATATTGGATTCGGTGGAGAAGTATCGGTGTTTTTACGGACACCCGATGGACAACGCGGGCAAATACTTTGACGACTTGAGTGTATTGGACTTGGAGTGCATTAATTCCATACAAAACGATGATTTCAAAGAATACATATCCATTTCGTACACAATATTAACGGCTCTATTACTGGTATTATCGGGTCTTCTGGTGGCTCTCATCTATATTAACAAACAATACCTAATGAATGGCTGGACTTATCTGACGACTGGTCTTATATCGAAACGCGAGTACACGTCGTTGGAGAAGGAGTCCAAACGACACAATCAGACTAATCAAGAAGTGGCTGAAGTGGAGGTTTGATTTGTCAATCAATCCCTCTATTCATACCATACAAGTCGTGCTCTCTTTCTATTAGTGATTAATTAAATTCGTTTTAAATGTAATATAAATTGACTGAAGTTTTGACAGAAAAGGTTAAAGTTTTTCTAACGAAATGTGAGATATTTTTAAGAGAAATCAATTTAGTCTAAATATGTTTTTTACGATTAACAATATGTGTATAATTTATAACAGATTTATTTTGGATATTCGTTACAAATTACCAAAAGCTAATTACATAAACATTTTTTTGTAATTTATATAACATTAATTTCCACATAAATTCTTAAGATATTTACCAATTTTTGCCTTTTATGGTTAAATTTCATCACTTTTTGGTAACTCTATATATTTTATATTCAATTTCTAGTGATCTGTAATTTTAGATTATAATATAATAAGATTTTCTATTCACGTCATTATTGAAAAAAACTAATTTATTTATTCTTATAATTATATGTGAATATTGAATGAGGAAAAACATTTCGCAATCCATCCTAACATTCAGAATAAGTTTCTAATCAATTAATTTTTTGCTAAAATTAGAAATTCAATTCATTAACTCACTGTTAGTATGGCTTAAATTAATACAATATTATAATTAATTCCATAAATTAAACAATAAATTAGTGCCTTTTCTTGAAAAAAATGCTTTATATGTTTGAATCTAAGGGGTGGCCAGAGAGGGGCGGATTACTTAACCCCCAGAGCTTATGGTAAATTTATTTTCGTGTTATTATATGATATTAATTTGCCTGATATTCAATTCCCGGGCAAATGAATATTCAATAGTATTTGTGCTTTAAATTAACAAAAGGAGTTCAAAAATCCTTTTCTAACTAATTTAACCTTTGAATCTAACATTGAAGACGTGGTTATCAGCCAATCAATTGGCAATTGTGTACAAATTCAATAAATTGTTGTTTGTATTCAAATTGTGTTGATTACCACTAAAGTAGATCAATGAGAATGAAGAAGAAAATCTATTGAACCAATAGTTTAAACATTTGGATGAATTCATTAATGAATTTAGGATTTGATGAATAATTTATTAGCTTTTTATTTAATAAACTTATTTTTTATTTTCTCATTATATTCTCATAAATACATTATATTATATATAAAATATTCTTTAGTTTTATACAAATATTAAAAAATCAATAATAAAAAATTAAATGCATTTGTTTTTAGTTCATTAATGGATGCAATGAAATGTCAATAGATTTCTTTAAATAGCGATAAACACTTATTTCTACAATAAAAATATTGTTAAACTTTTATTTTAATGAATTTATATATAAATAAAATATTGGTAAATCTGTTATAAATTTAATTTCAATATTTATAAAAATCTTTGTTTTTAATGTCATTTTGGATTAGATGTGATGTTTGGAAGAATAAGATAGGAATGAATGGTAATGGTATGAGTGGATCAACACCACGAAGAGTTGTTGTCGTAGTTGAATGAATGGTTATTATTAGTAGGGAATGCATTTTGATGGTCGAGTCGAGTGATTAGAGCGTATTTACTTTGATTTTGATCATTCATTTTGACATTAATTAACGGATTTGTATAACCCGTCAATGGATTAGTAGTAGTGGTGGCGGTCCTCGACTGCGAACACTGCCTCGCATTCACAGTATTATTATTATTATTATTTGTATTACACTTCGCGTTACAAAAGAGATCGTTGGCGGCGACGACACCCTCGGCGTCAAAGTCGGTGTCGTAGTCCTCTTCGGACGTCTCCACAGAGCTATTGGCGAGGCTTTGATTGTTTCTGTGGTTTCTGTCCTTTCCATTGAAACAGTATTTGGTTTCAGTCATGTGTCTCGAGGGCTGAGACAACTGTATGATTGAGGACTGGCTCTTGAGGAGAGCGGCCGCTATGATGGGTGAACTCGATGTCGATGTCATACACGATGTGGGAGACGATGATAATGAAGAAGAGTGTGACGATTGGTTAGTGTTGTGGTGAATGGACTCAGTTTTGTTATCATTGATGACTAGAAGAGAGTTTTTGGTTTTATCGTGACTGAGACTAACGCTATGATTATTATTATGACTATTTGTCGGCATTTCAGCCGCCGGTCCACCGATCGACCCGTTATTCTCGTAGTTATTGAGTTCACAATTGAGCGCCACTTCAGTCGCTTTGAACACTTGTGAATAAGTCGGTGGCGGAGAACAACTGCCCATTGAGTCCGTCAGTGGCTTCCGACGGGAGGCGGCGGTGGGCTGTGGTCTTCGGGTGTTATCATTAGTGTTAAGTACAACTATTTGGTTCATTGTATTCAGTAATTGGTTTTTATCGACCGACACCTGAAGCGGCGATTTACTGATCGGTATTTGATAGCCGTCCGCATCAGTCAGACCGTAGTCTTCGTGTGTCAGGTCTTCGTATTTGATGTGTCCGTTTTGATAGCTTGGCTTTAGGGTAGAACTGCTGGAACAGCTCTGACCCGAAGAATTGCTTGAGTTTTTCAGACTATGTGATGAGTGTCCTATTGATTAGCAATTATCAAAATACATAGACATTAGTTATATTAAACACTAGAATAAAATTCTGTTATATTTTTTGGAAACACTGTTTTGTGTATAAATTCTGGTGAAAGCAACAAATATATACGAGAATGAAATTAGTTTTTCAATTCACTTGAAAACATATACAAAGCGTTACATTAAAGTGTTAGTGAATAGAAAGAGTAATGTGAGATTGGTGTTTTTGTGAACGTATCATCACTACCTGCCTGTCTCTCATCCTCACTATAGCCGGGGTTATCAAATCCTCCTATAGTTGGCAGCGATTGGAGAAAAACAAAATAATAGGCATCAAAGCAAACATAAAACAATTAATTTAATTAAACAAAACAAAATCCATGCAAAAACAATCGGGTTATCGGTCTTTGTGTCTCTCCTTATTTAGTTCGCATAACTTTTTGTGACTGTATATGAAAGTAAATTGAACTTAATTTAGATTTAATGCAAATATTTTGTTTATTTTGAATTTAAGCGAATAATATTCAATCGCGAATTGGACTGAAAACTATTATTTTTAGGTTTCAAAATAAACATACTTTTTACAACTTTATTCTGTATATAATTTACTAAAATATTATTCATCTATTTTGAGCGACACATCCGACACCCCTTTCGTTAGTATTAATTATTAGTATTTGTAAAAATATGAAAGGAAATTGCGGTTCAGATAATAGTGTTTTGTTATCATAGATATAGAGATGTATAGAGTTATTAGTGCAGAGAATATATGCAACAATTGATGGCACAAACAATAGAAAAGTTATGGCCATTGAATAGATAGCGCAACACAATCACCACACATGCAATTCGCGAGTAAACCGGACAATAACCACCATTTCCTGCCCATAACCTCCCGATCCAATTGAATACAATAAAAGCACTTACGGTTGAATATATAGTTCTGGTTGTGAACGGCAGTAATGGCCGGTTCACTGCCCGACATATTTTTCTTCATCTTCTCTAATGTTTGTAAGCATTCAGAAAAGTTCGGTCGGTCTTCGCTCTGGAAATTCCAACACCTCTTCATTAGGCTATAACTGTTTTGTGACAAATATTTGCAAATTAATTTTCGCCATTAATTGGGTTCAAATCAACTGAAACTCACAGCTCGTCGGGACAATTGAGCGGTCGATCCAGTGTTTGTCCGGTTCTAACATAACTGAGCACTTCTGGGTGTGCTTTGGCCTGATATGGCAATTGGCCTAATGTCAACACTTCGTATAGTAAAACACCAAATGACCAGACCTTTCAAATGAACAAATTTGTTAATTTAATTTTTATATGAACACAACAAAGTAATGAATGAATGAATCAATACATACATCGCTTTGTGATGTGAAGACGCCGTCGACCAGAGACTCGGGAGCCATCCAACGCACTGGTAGTAAACCTTCTCCTTCTTTACGGTAGTAATCATTTTTATATACATCTCGGGCTAAACCAAAGTCTCCAATCTTTACAACTCTAGTCCTTCGGTCAAAGCTGGAGACCAGACAATTACGTGCGGCTAAGTCTCTGTGAATGAAGTGAATGTCCTCCAAGTATTTGCACCCTTTGGCCACATCTGTGCAAATGCTAATCAGATCTTCCATTGTTAGTAGGCTTGGGATCGGACCGCGAGGTCTGTTATTTCTCAGATATTCTCTCAGATCTCCGCCTTCCATCAGTTCCAACACAAGTGATATTAATGTCGGATCCAAACAAATGCCTTCTAATTGAAGAATATGCGGGTGTTTAAAGTTGGCCATCACTTTAGCCTCTTTCAGAAAGTTGGTCTTCTCTTCCTGTGAGGCGCCCTTTCGTAAAGTCTAGTTTTACGACAAATACACATTTTATTGTATATGAAAAACATTAAAATTAAAAATTATTTCTCACTTTTATGGCAACTTTTGTGATTTTTGGCTCATTGTTGATAATCTGAAGCCATTTTCCTTCAAATACTTCACCAAACGCTCCGCTGCCGAGGAATTGTGTTTCGGAAATCTGTTCTCTTTGTATTTTATTCATTGCCATCAACTCATTGTCTAAATCAAAGTTACTATTCGTGTAAAGTGTGTTCAAATGGTGCGGATGTCCGGGCAGTTCAGGCCAGGGAACCAATTCCAGTGTATTTCTGTGAATACTACCGTCTCCCAGAGCCTTCTTCTTCTGTTCCTGAACCTGTCGTTTGCGAACTAAACACACATTTCATTAGTTTTCAATATAAATATAAAAGTATTCAAAATGTATTACTTGTGCAAAACAGTGTTAAAACAACGACCACAAAGAGTACGGCACCCATAATAGCGGCAGCTATTGTGATCATATCGTCTTCGGGTAAAACCTCTGCGTTTGTGATCTCAAAGGGTTCGCTCTCTTCGCTGTAATTACTTGAACCAAATTCACTGACGGCTTGTAATTTGAAGGCAACGCTCTTATCGGTCGACAAGTTTGTAATAAACCAATAGTTTTCGGTTCCGTTATATATTTGCGTCCATTCGTTGTTCACATCCAAACTATCGGCGCTTTTATCGACCAATTTATACCATAAGTTGTAGTAAACATTTTGAGCGCCATTTCCATTGATTTTAGTCCACCAAACTTTATATACGGTTTGACTAACGCCAGGGATTTTGTCAATTAGCGGCGTTTCGGGCACTTCCGGTGCGTCGCCCAGTGTTTTGAAGACATAGCGCTCGGTTTCGGGCCATTTGAAGAGCACTGTTGTCGACCGATACGTGAGTAACAGTCGGAACGCGTACTCTGTGTTTGGCGTCAGTTTCGTCACCGAAAACACGTATTTAGTCGACGGTTGAGTGCTATTGAACTCCTGGCCGATCCATCGGTCGGTGCCGTATCTGCAGTACTGAATGGTGTGCTGACCGATCTCAGAGACGTTGGTCTCGGATTGCGGTGAATCCCAACTCACTCTTAGGGAACGGCTAGACTTGTCCACCAAATAGAGTTCGTTCGGCAGTTTATATGTCGTAACGGATGTGGTTTCGCTCTCGCTGTAGAAGAGGCCGTCACTAGAATAGGCCCTAATGTTAATGAAGTACGTGAGACCCGGTTTGATGTTGTCGTTCATTTCCATATAGAACTTGTCACCAAATCTGGTTGTTTCGGGTTTCCTGGTGTAGACGGCTTTGTGCCAGTCCTGGTCTTTCTGCGAATACCAGCGCATCTCATATAGGATTGGGTCTCCGTTGGGCTTTTCGGGCGGTTCCCACATCACCCGTATTCGGTGCGGTGTCTCCACTTTCGCGGCCACATTCCTGGGCGGCGATGGCTTAGTCTCTGCGGTCTCGAAGTTGACGGGAGGGCCGGGAAGGTTAGAGTTGTTGGACGTGTAAAAGTTTTTGACGGCCACACGAATCGTATAGTTAGTGAACGGTTCCAAACCCGTCAAAGTGATGGTATCGTTAAACGTGTCGACTATAGTACAGCCTCTGAGGCTGAGTCCGCACTCGTAGAAACCGTCGGACAAAACTTTGCCGTAATATATAGTGTACTTAACGGAGGCCAGAGTGGTCTTCGCGCAGCCCAACGGTCGCCTCACCTCTTGCATGGAAATGGTTAGACTGTTTGCGGTGTTGTCCTGTAGTCGGACGGTCTCGTGGTATTCCATGGGAACCAGACATTCAAAGTGCGGATACGGCTGCAAGTGATCGCTCAGGGCTTTGATGCCGTGAACGCCGTTCGCGATCTCAGACATCACTAAATGCGGTTCATTCGCGTTGTGCAACACATTCAACATATTTGGCAGAGCTTTCAATTGCAATACGTGTGACTTTGAGTTACCTTTCGGCACGTATTTTGCCATTTTGTAGACATTGCCTAAAGAGGCGTTTGACCAGTAGATGAAATCGTTGTCCACAGCCATCGATGTCGGCGGAAAGCCGTACGTATTGTTGATTACAATACGACACCGACAACCGGTCATATCGCTGGCCATTATCCTCTCGTACTTCAAATCGTACCACAAGAGCTCCGATTTGCCATAATTTGATCGATCAATGGTCAGAGCGTTGCTCACGAATGAATGTGTCGTACAATTACAACCACCGGAACCGATGTCTCGCCTACTTCTGGCTTTGTTTTGCTGGAAGAATGGTCTGACACTTGCCGTCGAAGCGATGCCTCTACTCTTAATGTCGCACATCTTTAGGTAACCCTTATTTTGGTTAAACATTTCCGTCCAAATCAATGTACTGGAGAACGGATCCACTTCTATGGAACCGATCACCACATTGTTCTTAGACGTGACGAGAACTGGTTTGGCGTTCGGGTCGTTCAGATCGTACGACCAGATGGTGCTCTTCGGCGAAGTAAAATCCGTTTCTGACCAATAAAGATGTCGACCGATCCAATCAACAGTGAGACCACTGCCCGGAGAGTGCATCTGACGAATGATTGTTATGTTAGTTCCGTCCAAATATGACTTCTTAAGGATGCCGTCCTCTTCCACCCAAAACATGAGATTCTCTTTACTTATATAAGTGACTGATACAGGAATTATGGCTTTTGTGGTCAAGATTTTCTCCTCGTGTGAGTCTATATCAGCCATTCTAATGGAGTCCTGTTTAGTGACCAGCAGTCGGGGAACTGGATGTTCATTAGAGCTGAGAGCGCCGATCACATCACTGGGCGGTCCGTCACCCGCTTCGGTGAAGGCCTGCACTTGAAAATAGTACGAAGTATTCATCTTAAGGTCACTTAAGTATATTTGATGTGTTTGTCCGTAAACTTTGACACTTTCCACTTCGGGATTCTTCTGACCCGATTGTATAGACCAAGCGTTCACAGTATAGCCCAGTATAACGCCATTTGGCAGCTCCGGTGGTGACCACCGGAACTCGGCGTGAATTTTCTCGATTGAATTATCATATGTCGAGCGCTCATAATTGATGAATATTCTGGGTTTCGATGGTTTGGTTGGTGTAGACATTGGAGAATACAATTCAATAACAGTCTGTTTAGACGACGCCCAATAAGTAAAGGCACGGATCGCTAACTTTATCTTAGAATAGGGCGCCAATTGGTTGGCCAAAGGATACGGGTATTTGGTTTTGTGTGTTATCATTGACTGTCTATTATTTTGACGGCTGTCCTCAATGACCAACTCGTAGAAGACTTGATCGTAGTTTACGTTTTCGCACTTTTTCCAGAATATTGTGAAATTATCGTAAACTCCGGTCAGTTTGATGTCCTCCTCTTTCAAGTCATTGGGTATGACTTGAATGTCGTAAAGCGAAGCGAAGCCTTTGGGAATGGGCTGTAGTGATGGGTCAACAACCGTAAGTGTGTTGATATCATTGAGACCTAAACCCTTAAGAACGGCAAAGTTTTCGCCGTTTTCACCGCTAATAAGGGCGTGATTTTGGTTCTCTTCCAACCAAAACATACGGTCGCTATAGTAAGAGAGCGGTCCTCTCAAGTGATTCTCAGGCAAATGCCCGACAATTCTAATGGTTTGTGTGATGTGTTCAGTGTTCTCACCGTTGGCCAGATTAGCGCTGTAGAGGACGACCCCCTCATAGCTCCTGAGTATCCAGAAAATGAGATTCGTGTCCAGATTCAGAGTCAGACCCATAATGTGTTTTCCGGCGAAGAGATTAGTTTCAAAATACTTGATGCGATCCATTCCGTTGAGTCGACTAAACTCAACGCTATAACCGGTGGCCCAATAGATGTATCCCATCCTCGAGTCAATAGCGATCTCTTTGGCGAATGTCATAATAGGAAGGGGTTCTGAATGACTGCCGTCGAGATTGGATCGAGAGATCTATAAATTGAATACAAAAGGATAACAATAACAATAATCGTCGCGTTATTAAACGATTCATTGAATAAAATTTTGTATATCTATTGTCTAACCATTCGCTGTGCAGGACTAGACCAGTAGAGTTTGGGTGCGATCCAGTCTACAGCTATACTCGACGCACCGGTTATGTTGTTGATTGTGGTCAGGGATGCGTGTGATGTCAGATTATAGATGAAGATATTGTTCTCGCCGTTCAAAAATACCACATCTCTATACCAACTGATATCTACACAAATATAGTTAACAATCTTTTTATAGAAATTGTTTTCCTTTGAAAGAAATATATTAAACAATTCTTAAACTAAAAATGAAATCAAAAGTTTTTGTTATACAATATACATGTATGCTATGGTTTGAAGTTTTAAAGACTTTTCTTGAAAAGAGATGTAGTTTTTCTATGAATCTCTTATCTGTAATCTAAAACTAAAGACATTATTTCGTTTATATCTTAAAACCAATTTGTTATTTGAATTTAATATACAAAATATAGGGAATTATAGAGTGTATTAAGATTTATGACTATATTTAGTTTATTGTTGAGATAAAAATGTTATTATTGTATATCTATATTGTGTTGTATTCTAACACATATTTGTCTAAAGTATTCATTGATAGTTAATTATAGATAAGTTCATGAAAAGTGAGAGTAAATTAGGAGAGAAAAGGGAAGGGCTATACCATTAACAATCGTGCCGTTCATATTCATTCTGTGTACCAAATGCTCGACTCTATCGCCAACGATGTTTGACTTGAGGACCCCTTCCCTTGTGCTCCAAAGTGCGAACGGAAATCTCGAGTCCTTTTGTATTGAATGCAATGTCTTTCCCTGAAATGTTTGACTCCAGGAGCCATTGCCGGCCGCGCTATACGCTCTCACTTTGATATTATACTCGGTGTTGGGGTTGAGCTCATCGGCCTCGCAGTACGTCGACGTTAATCCCCTGTCGAGAAATGTAATCCGAGATAAGGTCTCCTCAATGCTGACCTCGTAGGACCACTGTTGCCAAGCGCCCTGTCCTTTGTCACCCAATAGGTCCGGCTTTTCCCACACAATCTTCGCGCTCCGGTCGAGAAACACTGACTGCACGCTCTTCACAGGGTTTAGTGGCACGGGATAGGGTTGGCTGCTGTAGTTAAACACACACAACGAGATCAAATTGTTGGCACCGATCTGTGTCGAGCTGTGATGGTATTTGTCGTTCAGGCGGTCGTACTCTTCGTTATAGACTTCGTTGCCTTTTGTGAAGTAGAAGAGGTTGTCGTGAACCACGAGATTGTCTATACTCTCCAACAGGTCGTTGCGTTGGGAGTTGTGTCTGACGTTCACGCGATCGTTGCCGTCGATGGTTATGGAGAATATGGACGCCTCGCGACTAATGGGCATAAATATGCGATAATTGATGAAATCGACGGCAAATGCTGTGACCGACGGCTCCTGATATATAAGCCTCGCGTAGTTATAAGCGATCACATCGTTGGCGATTAGCGCCAGATCTATGCGATAAAGACTAGCGGTGTTTGAATCACTGATTGACATCCAATACAGATACCCATTATAGGGATCTACTTTCATATCTGCTGGTCTTGTCTTGAATCCAGTGATAACGGACTCTAATTTGTCGCCATCGAGAGTGCAGCGACTGATTTTGCTCTCTTCAATCATATATAACTTATCGGCCAACCAGTCCACTGACAAACCGGACGGCTTTGTCGTCCTGTCCCTCACTATTGTGCGGATCTGTTTGTTGTGTTCGTCTTTCAAATTGATTCGACGAATGGTTCCCGAAGTGTCCGAAACAAAGAGATACTTGTGCTGCACGTGGACTGCGAGTCCGCTGATGTCAGCGCTGGTCGAGTAATCATTGAGTCTATATATAACGTCCCCGTCTATCGGGAACTGTGGGTCTCTTCGAAGCACTTCTCGATCTGTGGCCAGAAAAAGCTCCGGAACTGACGACTCGTTGCCGTACATATTCCTAATGTCTATTTCATGTGTCGTCACATTTGTCTGCGCTTTGGGTCCTTCGCCAAAGTTATTGCGCGTAAGGATTGATATATTATAAGTGGTGTTGACTTTAAGCGAATTAAACATATAATGCAAACTCTTATTGTGTCTCAAATGAATGTCTGTATCACTTGTGGGCGAATTTGGCATATCTTTGACAACATTAGTGCCGTTCGGGTATTCACTCAACAACAGGGCGTATGAGATGATGGGTCCGTTTGGGAAACGGGGCGCTTCCCAACTCACAGACATCTGTGTGGCGCTGACGGCCACCGCACTGGTGATGGTGGGCGGCGTTGACGGCACCCCATAGGCCAGTGTGGCTATAGTGACACTTTGGTGCGAGAATAGTGTCATCCCGTACTCCGGGAGGACAATCCATTCGACGCGAAACCTATACTGTGTGTATGCGTTGAGTCCTTTGATTTCGACGCGACTAGCATTGAGCACATCGTCGGGCATATAGTAGTTCCAGTCGCCGCCCAACACTTCGTACCGCCATTGCACCAAATATGTGATGTTAGGATACGGAGCGCTCTTCCACTCTATTGTCAATGACTCGTTGGTCAGAGTGTCGGCCCCGAGGAATGGGGCCGAAGGTGTGCCCACTTCTGCCTTGATTTTATCTATATATAAGCCGAGCGCGTGATTGCAGCCCAACACACAATACAGCACCTGAAGGGTTAGGCAATGAATGGAGAGAAAAATATATATAACAATGGTTTAAGTTATGCGAGCGTTTGTTAACTCATATTTAACGCTATAATGCACTGGAATTTTACGCGAGTATGAAATTCCCAGACATTGGGCTCATCTGTGAATGCATTTCTCTCTTCTAAGATTCCGATATAAATATGTATTTGTTTTATGCAAATAAAACTTTTTACTTGTTTTGCGATGTTTTAAATTGCTTTTTTGAGTTTACTCTTTACTTTTAGTTGATTATAGCGGGAGTGCACTAAACTATACGTTATATTGTGTAGAGAGAGATACAAAAACGAGCAAAACTACGACTACTCACCCAATTGTTAACATTGCTGGAGTCATCGCAGGCCTGAACACATGATGGCTGGGCATCGGGCCATCGACGGCACCCGAGTCTACACTATATATAATAAATACAGAGATAATAATTATTAATCACGTAAAAAAGCATTTATATTTTAAATGTAAATTTTTAAATATCAATAATATTTATAAATATTTTTATCGCAAAACACGTCGAAACAGATTATATTTTTATAATATTTTATGACTAGGTTTTGATTTCACGTGCGTTTAAACGATAAATATTTTTACCATAATTATCAGTATATATTTGGCACCGAAAAAAATTATTACATTTTTCATTAAAGCCCTTATTATACATGTATGAAAGTGTACTCCAATATAAATAAATACGATTTACTGTAGATATATTTTTACAAATACAGTATAATTTGTTATCGTTTTTTGTTTAAATTATATGCATTGAATGTCTAATTTTAATGCTGTATTTCATGGTATAATTTGTTTTAAACACAAAATATAAAATCCCAGCAAAAAACAAGAAGTTATGATTTTGAAAGGTCGAGATTTGGAGTCGATAGGGATTCGTGCGCTTCTTAACCGCTGTCTATGAATACGTTAATCAAATGATTAATTGTTGTCATTCAATGACAGCTGAGATCTGTGTTTGAAAAATGTCTTTTTCTGAAAGCTTTTATTTTACAAAATGTTTATTAAGCCGACTGTTTGGCCGTTTGTACAGCACATCCATAACTCGGGGAGAGAGAGAGAGAGAGAGAGAGAGAGAGAATGTTAAAAATATCCAGTCATTGGCTCTGAATTATTTATCAGATCTCCATATATGAAAATTTTAGTTCTTTTAAAACCCCAATAAAAAAATCAAATTATCGGAAAAAGCACTCAAAATATTTATTTAAAAATTAGTTTCAAATAAAAAACCAATTCATATGAATAGTAAACATTCGAATTATAAGACTCTCAATAAAATCAAAAAAGTCGCTCTTTTTAACATCAAAATAATCAAATAAATCAAAATCAAAAGCAATCGCTTTAGGGGTAGAGAGAGAGAGAGAGAGAGAGAGAGAGAGAGCACAAAATAAAGGCAAACAAAATAGTTTGTTTCATATTTGACTCTTTCATAGACGGCATAACAACTACAGGTATTTTTAAAGCACTTTTAGCGATGTGTCAAAAATCGAGTGCTTCTAAAAACTTAGTCCATAACTATTTAATATAGTTTTTCTCTCTCTTTCTCTGTCTTTGTGAACACATAATGTGTTGTTTCACCAAAAATAATCATTATTATGAAGTGAATACTACAGACTAGTGTGAAGTGCACTCTCAGAGCACACACTTTGTCAATAGTCTCTCTTTTCACTATATATACGCGATCCTCACGTTTCTTAAACATCCCTTTGTTTTTATGTTTACAATCAGGGAATGAATGAGAAGTGAAAGTTTGCAAATAAAGACTTTACACTTTTGCCAATGAGTCTAATAGCTCCGGTCGTAAACCACATCTCTCGCTCTCTCTCTCGCTCTCTCTCTCTCTCTCTCTCTCTCTCTCTCTCTCTCTTTCTTTCTACCCCTAAAGCGATTGCTTTTGATTTTGATTTATTTGATTATTTTATCTCTCTCTCTCTCTCTCTCTCTCTCTCTCTCTCTCTACTGATTAGAGAATTCTTTATGAATGGATCGGAAACCAAATGCAAAAAACTTTTTTAATGAATAAAGAATTTTTTGTGACTAAAAAAAGTTATTTATTATAAATATTCAGTCAATGAAGTTGTGTTTTCCGTTTTTAATAACTTATTTAGTCGTCAAATGCAATGAATGGGAAAATTTTATTTTATATATACAGTACATAATCACTATTTCCGGCCGAAAAGCAAAACGGGAAACAAAAGGACCCATTCATTAGTGAAGTGACCGATTCTGTCAATACAATGGCCTTTTCTGTACTCTATATACACTTTATATCACAAATATATTTACAAAAACTGTTGGAATTTTTTGATAATAAAATGTAATTTATTGAATATTTATCGCAATTTCTCCCTAAAAATTCTCACATCTCATTGAACACAAACACTGTTTGCATTTTTTGAACAAAATTCATAAAAATAGTCAAACAATTGACTGTTTGTGTGCTCTCTGTCTCATAACAAAATGTTTTCACAACTAATCGACAGATATTTTCAAAAATTTATTTTCTGTTTTAAACACATAATTATATTTAGTTAAACACATCTAAAACCCACAAAAAAATCAAATATTATGCGAATTATGTTCTTTACGCTTATTATACGTTAGCATTCACTGGTTTCCTGTGAATAAATTCATAAAATTTTTACTGATTTTATTATTTGGCATTTTTTCTCCCTCTCCAGGTATTCAACTAAACATAACTGCAAATCAACGGCTGGTTTATTACGGGACGTAAAACTCTTTTCTTATAACGTTTATATCGATTGAGTGAAGAAATGGTTTAATTAAGTGATCAATTAATGATTGAGGTTTCGGGCAATCAATTAATTCAATGATTGATTGACTCCATACTTATGATCAAAAACAAAACTTTCTAATCAATACTTAATCATTAGAAAATTTTTAAATCTCTCTCTCTCTCTCTCTCTCTCTCTCTCTCTCTCTCTCTTTGATCCCTTTTTTAATTTAATAGTTTAAATGTTAATTAAATTCTAAAATAAAGTACATTTCAGATAAATACAGCAATGAATGGCAAATGAATAAAAATTACTGCAGAATCTTCACAGAGATTTTAATACTTATAAGTTATAACAGATATTTCCTAAAACTTTAGAAAAAAATATTTTATAAATTATTCGTTTGGGAGGGTCTGTGAGACTCATACTTGAAACAGATATGAAAAACAAGAAAAAATGATTATTAAATTATTAATGAAAGGCGAAGACTTTTTATGCTCAATATATATACAGAGTATATAAGAATCCGCTTTTATTTAATATATTATATAACATATAGAAAGTTATTTTTGCCGAAAAATCCCATATCATATCAAATGTGGCAAAAATAATAATTCAGACTTTAGACATGTATGTGATATTTGGATGTCATGTGAGTTAAAATGCAATCATTACATGAATTGAGGCTAAAATGTAGAGCAAAAGAATTTATAATATTCTTCTATTTCTGATAGTGTATTGAAATGACTGTTCAATAATGGCATAAATGTCTATCAAAAATATGATATGAAATCAGTGCTTAATGTGTGGCATCACAGCAATCATATCTCATAAATTGATTTCCGGAATCAGTAATAGTGGGCATTCAGGCGTAACTTCCTCTCTCCCACTCCCTCTCATCCTCTCTCCTCACCTTTGCGTTCATACTATTATATGTATACAATGTATATAACGATCGCTTTTAAAAACTGAGGAATATTTTGCTCTAAACAAAAGATGACGGAAAGAGAGGGAATAGTAGGCCCCGAATACAGGCGCCCCAACCTATTATGTGCATAAAAAAGTATAAATATATCGTTAATACTAATAGCGAAATGGAGGTGCGGTTGTGTAGAGAAGGGTATAATAAGGCTATTAAAGTTATACCGACACAAAACTCAACAAATGCCTGTGCAGTCTCTCTCTCTCTCTCTCTCTCTCTCTCTCTCTCTCTACCACTTGTTGTGTGCAATGATTTTCATAAATAGTTAATGAGATTCAGTAAAGAGAAGTAAAGCAACAAAACTATTAAAATTTTCTCAATGTATTTCTATTAAAAAACACGTTTTCTAAATATATTGAACAAAAAAATAATTACCAAAAATAAAAACTTTATTTTTATGTCTTGTTTTAATTTTAGTTTAATTTATTTGTGGTTTTATATTCAAAAAATGTTTCGATTTATTCCACAAATAATTTCAATATAGATTTGTCTGCATTTTTTGGTTAAAACTAGAATTTTACAGAAAAAAAGCCACGCAATGGAAAATATACGGAATAACTGCATAATTATCTACAGATATATGACATTTGGGGGTCAGAAGTCAATTAACTTGTTTGCCAAACATTAATATGTAAAGTAAAATTCAAACACAAGCAAAAAACAAACACTATTTGCTGAAAGAATTTATCGATTGAAGTAAAACTATATCATTATATCATTCATTCATTATTGAGTGGAAACACTAACAAACAAAATAGAGCACAGATTTGTTTGTCCCATAACTTTAATTGCTTTCATTGCTTTCAATTAAAATATTCATTCAAATTGATATCAATGGCAAACATTGAGTTTTGACATAAATAAATGATAAGCAGAATCGCGTATAACTTTTTACCAATTTTAAAACATTTATTATTTTTCTCGTTTATAACAACACTGCGAATACATATTTATTTGTATTGAAGAGAGAGAGAGAGAGAGAGAGAGAGAGAGAGAGAGACCGAAAGACTCGCCCGAGAGATGTTTTTCAAGTGAATTAATTTGATACGAAAATATTTGACTCCCACTATATTTTTCATAAACCATTTTTTCGGTCCAAAACTCCAAACATACTAAATATAACAGCAATACTCGAAAACTATGTTTTATGTGCAACGATTGCTGTCAGGAGTGTTACTCTCTGGGGTATAACTCCCAGGAATATATATTTTGACCTGAGTTTCCGTTTACAGCGAGAGAGAGAGAGAGAGAGAGAGAGAGAGAGAGAGAGAGAGACTGCACAGGCATTTGTTGAGTTTTGTGTCGGTATAACTTTAATAGCCTTATTATACCCTTCTCTACACAACCGCACCTCCATTTCGCTATTAGTATTAACGATATATTTATACTTTTTTATGCACATAATAGGTTGGGGCGCCTGTATTCGGGGCCTACTATTCCCTCTCTTTCCGTCATCTTTTGTTTAGAGCAAAATATTCCTCAGTTTTTAAAAGCGATCGTTATATACATTGTATACATATAATAGTATGAACGCAAAGNATTGAAAACTCAGTGAGAGAGAGAGAGAGAGAGAGAGAGAGAGAGAATCACAAACTTGTATATGTTATATTCCCGCTGTGTTTTGTTAATCAATTCAAAACTCTCCTGAATAATAGTCGTCAAGGTTTTGAGAGATGAGAATTACATTTAAAGTATATATTGTTATTAATAATAATAACGAAAATGATAATAATGTGATTCACAACAAAAATAATAATAAACTCAGAAAAATGAGATTACATTTTCTCATAGCGTATGGGAAGAGCCATCGATGCATATCTCACTCAAATGATATTTTGATGTCATTTTTATTAAAATAACAGACAAAAAACATTGCAGTATTTGTCAAAATGTTAGCTAAAGTATATTATATGGTTTTTTTTGGGTAAATTGTATCAATTATATTACAATTAAACATTTATATGCCTTTGATATTCTAGTAGAAGGCGAGACATAATGTAAACTAATGGATAGAAATGTTGCATCAAATTTACATTTAATATGGAAAGTATAAAAACTTTAAATATTTTGTCCATGAGTTTACTTTTTATAAAATAAAACTCTAACTACAAGTAGAGTATAATTAATAATGCAATTTAGCATTTTATTCGGTATATGGTGTGTGAATATCGCATAGCATTGAACTTTATATACTGAATATCACGAGATTAGCGAATGGTGAAATTACTTTCATAATACTCTGGATGCTATTCAAGTAAAAGTTAAGTAACATAATTGGTTGCACACCATATATCGCATCACTTGTCGGGCAAATTAGTCTAGGTTTTCAAAAATGATTTAATTATTCTATGGTTAAAAAATATAATTGTTTTTTTCTGTGCATATTTTATTACAAGTTATTTTGCTTTTTGGTTATATAAATGCAAATATTTATAATTCACGCACAGAGTGTTTATTGTGAACAATATTGTTAAGACAATACACCCCTGGATTGGTGTTGACGTGAATAATTGATGTCGATTAGTGGTAAATTAAGTGAAACGTACCTGGTGTAATTTGCAACTCTCATTGCATGCTATGTCGAACACATTCTCTTCGAGATTCTGTTGAGTAAATGAAAAAAGACTCATTAATACAAACAAATACATATCGGTTACAGTGATTGATGTCTCAATTCTCAAATCATGCGAATCTAAGTCACATATTAAGTGATAATTACATTAAAATGCAAATTAAGCACTAATTTATATATGATTTAATAGTATAAAGTGTTAATCGATTTAAAGGTTTTTAAATATATTAAAATATATTAATATAATTATAATTGTGATAAAATAATCGTTCATTTTTAATGATTTACTTCGACTCGACTTGTTATATATATGGGACTCGTTTTGCACAATAAGTTAATATTAATCTATGATATCAATGAGCAAATGGCGCGACTGTATTGCTACTAAGTTTTCATCTGATATTTTATTTCTTATATCAGACATCAGTTATGAAACCAAATATAAAAATGTAAATAAAATACATTGAAAGCATTTGACCTCCTCTTACATGTTTGAGTGATTTGTTTAATACATTAATATTTCGTTTTAAGAAACTATACGATAATTATTTGCTAATTTATGCTAACATTGAAGACTGAGACGGACCTAATTTTTTAAGGTAAATCTAGAGTATGAATAAAATATAAAGCAATTATAAGTGATTTTTAGTTTTTAAAAAATAATGTTGCTAAAAATACACAACATTGTTATATTAGGGGAAATCTTAATAAATACACGGCACACATGCCTTATATGCAAAGGATGTATTGATTACTACTTTTATGAATGAAAATACTTTATTCTTTGGCCAAACACTAGAGTACTTGTCCTCCTATTATAGTAAAAGAAGTATTCGTAGAGCACAGGTATAGCAGGAAATAGACTTGTGCCTCACGGTCTCAAACTTTCTCAACACCTGGCAGGCAGTGGTGGCACCGGACTCTCTCTCTCTCTCTCTCTCTCTCTCTCCCATTCACTCTCTCACTCTCCTGCCTGTCGTAAGTCGTCGTGAAAATCGGCACAAATACTGAGGAACGCGAACATTAAGGAGAAGGAGAAGCCAATTATTACACAGTAGTGTACAGTATATATACACTAACGACACGCACACAAAGAAATGCTCAACAGATTGTATGCGAGGGTACGAAGAAATTTATGCCAATTTTCAACACAAAATATACTATTCTTGAAGACATAAAATAAAAATAAGGGAAAGAAAGGAAATGAGAGAAAGAAGAAGAAGGAGAGGGAGAGAGAAAAAAAGAGAGACACATAGGTATGTTAGGAACAGGTAAATAGAAATCAGTTTTAAACGTTGAAAAGCAGTGGAGAAATACAGAGAAATGTTCAATTGTGGTGAATGTGGAGTATTGTATGTAATGCATGACCAGTCAAGGAGTACCTCAATAGGTATAGTGTGTGTGAATGTGTGTGAGTGCGAGAGTGAGTGAGTGAGAGACACAGAGAGAGCCGGATTCAACGTAAGACAACTTTTATTTTACTATCGATATTTCCCTAAAAAATAAATGGTATGTGTTATACAAAAACAGGGTCTGAATGTAGGGACAGAGATATAGAGGGAGGATGAGAGAGAACGAGAGGGAGAGATGGCACAGACGGGAGAGGGATAGGATTGCTTAATATATGCTGAGTGTTGGCATCCCATCCCAACCCAAACTGCATTCTAATCACCGAAATTCTCGTAAACAATTTAAAGGCAAAACAAACGCACCGGTCGTTTGAAAAAATCTGTTTCGAGTACAACAAAAAAAAGCCATAGAAAGAGAGAAGTAATCAGTGATTATTACAAACTAAAAAAGTAATCACTAAAAAGACATTGTTAATGTGCTGTGCATATACCGAAACATCCATTTTCCCAGGCGTTCAAGCGTTTACCCCCGAAGTCTGTGCGGTTTGTGAGGTTTCGGGAGGTTAGGGAGGTTTGTGCACTCGGCTTAATAGCACCACCGCTACCAACCAAACACAACAACTGCTTCGCAGACCAAGTATTGAAATATTTTACAGAATATACACATCGTTTTGTGTGTCTTTCAAATTGTAAACTAAATATTTAAGTTTTATTTGGAATTTTATTTACGAGTCTTATATACAGATGTGTTTATAAACACATCCAGGGATCAGATATTTAATCAATAAATATCTTCATTGCTTGTAAATGAGTGGATAAGTCAAGTCAGTCCACAATAACCATTGTATACAAATAAATCACTTGTATTTGTCGTGTGTTTTCTATTATTGTAAACTTATTTTCAAATAAACAATAAATGTTGATCATTATAAATGAACGTTATTTGCTAACCAGCAGTAGAATTTTTACCATTATTCTTTCAGAATATCACTAATTAGCGTATATTATATAAAGCTTAAAAGTTTTTTAGTTTAAATAAATTAAGCTTAATTTGTATTCAGTATACAGTATATATTGTTGACTTAGAAAGTATATGTTTTTAGTGATATATTCTTTTATACAAATAATATTGTAATAAAAATAGTTAAAATAAAATATAAAATAATGTTACCACAAGTCCATCGCATTCTCGTTCACATTTCTCAATCACTTCATACGACAAAATCGGTTTGATTTGCAAACAGAGCGACAGTTGAAGAAGACTTATGAATAAAAAAGTCAATTTTCGCCGTCTATTATGATTAGCAGATAATAGAGCCATAGTTATAGTTGTCGTGTCGTTGATTGTCTTCTCCCTTATCTAACATTTTATAAAAGTTTTGATCATCTTTTTTGGTCACACAATAGGAACTCTCTTCTTATGTATAAACATATTAATGGAAAAGTAAAAGTGAATTAAAAACTTTTTATTATTATCTCTCCATTCTATGCGCCAACAACTGTGCGGTACGCAAAAGTCAAGTCAAAACTTCACAACAAAATAAATAGAAAAAAGTTTTCAAAAACTTTTCTCTCTCTTCCACTCATTCACTCACTATTTCGCTGAACACTAAAAGTTATTTGAAAAAAGTTGTGGCACTCATGCGATCGCTGAGCGCACAACACAAATGGGTACTGAAGGACAGGACATGGATGAGAGGATCGTCTGCAAGCCATCAAGTTTTTACTCAACGAAAAAGTCTTTTACTGAACTCAACTGTAGGAGCGGCCGAACTGGCATTCATTCCGATATGAGATGTTGGCGAGAATGCGATGGACTTGTGGTAACATTATTTTATATTTTATTTTAACTATTTTTATTACAATATTATTTGTATAAAAGAATATATCACTAAAAACATATACTTTCTAAGTCAACAATATATACTGTATACTGAATACAAATTAAGCTTAATTTATTTAAACTAAAAAACTTTTAAGCTTTATATAATATACGCTAATTAGTGATATTCTGAAAGAATAATGGTAAAAATTCTACTGCTGGTTAGCAAATAACGTTCATTTATAATGATCAACATTTATTGTTTATTTGAAAATAAGTTTACAATAATAGAAAACACACGACAAATACAAGTGATTTATTTGTATACAATGGTTATTGTGGACTGACTTGACTTATCCACTCATTTACAAGCAATGAAGATATTTATTGATTAAATATCTGATCCCTGGATGTGTTTATAAACACATCTGTATATAAGACTCGTAAATAAAATTCCAAATAAAACTTAAATATTTAGTTTACAATTTGAAAGACACACAAAACGATGTGTATATTCTGTAAAATATTTCAATACTTGGTCTGCGAAGCAGTTGTAGTGTTTGGTTGGTAGCGGTGGTGCTATTAAGCCGAGTGCACAAACCTCCCTAACCTCCCGAAACCTCACAAACCGCACAGACTTCGGGGGTAAACGCTTGAACGCCTGGGAAAATGGATGTTTCGGTATATGCACAGCACATTAACAATGTCTTTTTAGTGATTACTTTTTTAGTTTGTAATAATCACTGATTACTTCTCTCTTTCTATGGCTTTTTTTTGTTGTACTCGAAACAGATTTTTTCAAACGACCGGTGCGNTTTGCGTACCGCACAGTTGTTGGCGCATAGAATGGAGAGATAATAATAAAAAGTTTTTAATTCACTTTTACTTTTCCATTAATATGTTTATACATAAGAAGAGAGTTCCTATTGTGTGACCAAAAAAAGATGATCAAAACTTTTATAAAATGTTAGATAAGGGAGAAGACAATCAACGACACGACAACTATAACTATGGCTCTATTATCTGCTAATCATAATAGACGACGAAAATTGACTTTTTTATTCATAAGTCTTCTTCAATTGTCGCTCTGTTTGCAAATCAAACCGATTTTGTCGTATGAAGTGATTGAGAAATGTGAACGAGAATGCGATGGACTTGTGGTAACATTATTTTATATTTTATTTATTTTATTTTAACTATTTTTATTACAATATTATTTGTATCAAAGAATATATTGCTAAAAATATGTACTTTGTAAGTCAATAGTATACTGTATACTGAATACAAATTAAGCTTAAACTAAAAACCTTTTAAGCTTTATATACGCTAATTAGTGATATTCTGAAAGAATAATGGTAAAAATTCTACTGCTGGTTAGCAAATAACGTTCATTTATAATGATCAACATTTATTGTTTATTTAAAAATAAGTTTACAATAATAGAAAACACACGACAAATACAAGTGATTTATTTGTATACAATGGTTATTGTGGACTGACTTGACTTATCCACTCATTTACAAGCAATGAAGATATTTATTGATTAAAT